TTTATAAATATCACAAGATGTATTGGAACAATTTCGAATATTGCTATATGAACTTTTCCTAATATTTGCTATCCCTACACAATACGGTCACTGCGCTTGGTGTTTCCGGGACAGTTCATGCACACCCCTCAGACGCTCCCAGGACAGTACAGCTACTCCATATCCGGCTTCTTAGGTCCAATCACCAGGTCCGGTAGCGTGCGCAGCTCCCTCCCAGAACATCAGCCCGGCCGGCATGCACTGGCTGCTGTGTGCACCGCCACTCAGTATGCCCACAGGACCACAGGACCAGGGGCAGGACCAGGGGCAGGACCTGGGGCAGGACCAGGGGCAGGACCTGGGGCAGGACCAGGGGCAGGTGGCGGTCCCAGTCACTCTGCTGTTTGGTGACAAGGATGGTGAGCTGCGTGGTGAGGGCACTGTTAACCCGCTCCACCAGCCCATCACCCTGAGGATCTTAGCGATGCCCAGCCACTTGCAGCCCTCTCCATATACCTGCAGCTCCTCCAGCGCCTGAAAGCAGCAGATGAACTCCTCCATGAGCTTTTTGGCTGTAGTCGGTGTAGTCTGGTTGGGACCTGTAAATCCTTGGGCAACTTGGTAAAGTAATCAGGAGCATGTAGCAGCATCACTGTGAGAGAAAGGGCCCAAACGTCCACCCTGACTCTCTCCATGGGTGCCCCCACGTTGTACTGCTGCCTGGACACTAGGGACTGGCAGCGTGGGCCTTTGAGGGCAGTGCACACATCACAGCAGTGCAGGAACAGTGCTGTGTCATGGCTGCAGCTGGCCCAGTACAAACGGCTCCGCAGCTTCCCCAGCATCTTAGTCGCTACTCCAAAGCACCTGGCTCCCGTCATGCACCACCATCAGAACCATGATATGGAGCCTCTGGGGCCCCAGCGGCTGCAACAGGTGGCTCTCCATCCAGGGACATCCAGGACCAGTACAGCAGACCATCATGCTCCGCGAGGATCCCCCCGCCCAGTGAGAGTATATGGCCTCGGTCCCCGGGTCGATGTGGAGACCTCTCTCCACTCCAGATGCCTCCCTGCCCGTGACCAGCACCCCTGGCTGCACTCATTGGCAAGGTGGCAGTGAAGCCAGTTATCTGTCTTGCAGGGACAGTGAAAAAGAGCATGTGCATTTCCGAGGAACCTGTACCTGTCCAGCCAGTTCTGGCCCACAAAGCTATACCCCTGCAGCACCTGCAGCCAAAGCCCCAGCTGTCCCTTGTGGTTATAGTTGCTAAAGCTGAGTGACCAGGTGAGGGATGCATGGATGGTGCCCACCTGGAAGCACTGTCCGCAGGGGGCGGGAATCAAAAATGGCAGCAGGCTTGGATGACGAATAGGAGCTTGTGGCATGTGATGCAGTAGTTCCTTTAGTGGTGGATCAGCATGTGGCTGAATTAGACTGCCACTCTCTTGCACTCAGATCCTGCCTGAGATAACATGGTGCCAAGCCCCTCGTTGCTGGGAGCACCAAGTTGGGGTTCACCAGTACTGAGGCCTCTGTGAGCACTGCCTTCAGCTGGTTGAAGGCCCAGTAGAAACAGCTTATGCTGCACTGGGGAGGTTCGTTGCATGTTGGCGGGGGGACTGGAACAGTTGGGGGTGAGGTGTCCCTGTCGCCACAGCCTGCTGCTGTGCCCATCATCTCCACATGCAACTAATTTCTATTTGGAGGGCTGCTGAGTCTGTACTGAGGTGGTGTGTGACTATGGGCACAGCTGTGTGAGCCCCCAGATGGCACAGCAGATCCATACCATGCAGGGATCACGGTTGTTGATCAGCCACACCTCTTGCTCCGTAGTTTGTTCTGCCAGCATGATGTTGAGCCTCTGCTTCCCATTCATCGCCGCACATGTGCTAATGATGGAAGTGAACCAGATTTCCGTCACTTCCCATCCCAGCTGAGCCGGCTGATTGGTGCCTTTGCGGATGAGGGTGACTATGGACCACTAAGGTTTGGCATTGGGTGCCCTCCACAAGCCAGTCCATGTAAAGGCCCAGCCAGCCCTTTTAATTAGACAGACGTGAGGGCTCTATGGTAAGAGCGAACTCTTTCCTGGCGCGCCTCACTCTGATCTTCCTCTCAGGATTCTCGGGGTTGGAGGCGAGCACAGTCTCACAGTGGGCGGTATGGTGTGGCTGGCGGACGACAGGGTGTTGCTGGTGGAGACAGGATCACTTCTGCTCTCTCTGCTTCCAACAATGCATCAGCCAGCATGGCTGGTACTCACAGCTGAAGGTGTTGCTGGAGCTGCATCGGTGTCAATGCCTTGACAACGGCATGGAGGGCCAGCTCTTCCTGCACATCATGGGGTAAACGTGGGTATCCCCACCATGCATAGCTGCAGAGATTGGCAGCAAATACCCCAGAGTCTCACTCTCCTCCTCAATCTCCACTGACCCTCCCGCTTCCTCCTCGTGGTCTCTTCTGACGGCCGCTGGTGGAAACACTACACCAGCATGGCGACCAGAGCGGCGTAGTCCCTGCTGATCCTCTGGGGTACGGCTGAGGAGGACCTGTAGTGCCTCCTTTTGCAGTGCTAGTGCCAGGGGGGTCGCGGCCTCTGCTGGTTGCCAGCAGGCGCATTTGGGGGGAGATAGGGTTCCAGAAGCCCCTCTCCGCTCTAGCAAGAAGAGTTCCACCACGATCTTTGTCCTGCTCCCTGCCGAGCTCAGATTTGATGGTGCATCTCGCCATGCTGCCAGCTTTGTTCTGCTGTCTGGAGCTGGGGTGCAGCGTACTGGCTCCGTTGGGTCTCCCCGGCACGATGCTCGGTTCCCAGGATCCCCCTCTGGTTCGCCACTGCTGTCTCCCTGCACCGTCCAAAAGCTTTGACTTGTAAAGTTTCCAGAATATGTTGTCAATATATCCCACTCCTGACACCAGTGTTGACAATTGCTCTTTTAAAAGTGATTTTTTTCTCTCTTTACTCATAGCCTCCAATGGTTAGACTAGTAGTAGCACAGACATGGAAACCACCAATTAACGTGACATTCGTGACGGCCACATTCATGTGAACGCGAACAAACCACACATATTACATGGTTAAAAATGACATGGTAATATTTACTATTTACAACATAAATATACAAATACACATATTGATTTACACTGTTTACAGATATGCACGGTGTGGTGCAAGGCATTACAATGAAGTACATAGCTGGTCCTGCGACACAGTTTACTGTTGTGCAGTGCTCTCACAGAACTGAGGTGTTTCGCAAATTTTAATCAATGCTTTTTATAATTAAGTTTAATCAAGTAATTGTGGCAGCTGTATCGTCAGTTATATCGATATTGTAATCAGTCTCTTTTCTAAGCGTTTCACTTATTAGTTTCAGTCTCCCAAAGAATATCAGGAAACTAGGTTGTTTCCCACTGAAAGCATGACATGTTACACAATTTGTGCACTATAATAAAAGCTATAGATGCTCATAAACAAGTTTGTGAAATTAGTTTTGTCTTTTACTGTAAATATGCAGTACTGAGCCAATCTGTTTGGTTTAAATTTGAAGCCTGTTGAATTCTCTTGTAGGCAATGGGAAGTATTTTCTAAATGGTGTTTTTATAAAGCTGATAATTGGACTTTAATAAAATTAGGATTTTTTAATACAGCTGTGGTAAGAACATTATGCTCACTGGGGCTGATTCACAAGCAGTGCATGGACTTTCGGTCTTATACATGGAGGCTCTAGCTAGCGGGGGTATGCAGTGAGGGGTCATGGTAGTGGGGGGGGGGGGGGGGTTGGGGGTCAAACAATTGCCTCACTGTACAGAGTCAGGGTGGAAACATAAATATCACCAGCTTCGGCTCATGAAACGTTTAGCAAATGTGGCGCGGTAATAAAAGGGGGGGCAGACCCCAGTGCACAGCCTGACAGCACGCGCCCTGCAGGGAGGCTGGCCTCCAGCACGTCCTCATTAACTCCTGACTTATCGCTCTTTTTAACCTCTACAGCGGCTTCAATTCCACAGACAAGGAAAACAAAGATAATAACACGGTACTCGGTCCTTTTCCTCTGTATCCTCAAAATGTGACTTTGAGGTCATACAACTCATTTTAAAAATGAATCTCCGTATCCATATTTTAGCAATTAATGGTCAGTCTTCACATTTATTTATACTTTGCTATGTATGTCATCGTTGCAATTCAGCAATTCAATTGGTGTGTGGTAGGTTATGGTGAGTAACTATTGTAGAAACTTCTGTTGAGTGATGTATGGATTGAATGGTGTCTGTCAAGACCTACTATGTATGTTGCAGTTCTTATTTTCTGCCGTTTTCATTTTTTAAATCTGACTCTGGCATCTTTCTCTGTACTTAGTTTTGAGCAGTATTGCGACCTGGAATCCAAAGATAAATTTATGTCATGTCAAAACAGGATGTGATGTTATCTCCACATCTCATGGTTCCAGAACCACATGCTAATTCAAGGTGTTCATCTCCAAGAAAATCAAAACAAGTGCATCCTTTGGATACATCTTGGTTATTTTAAACCAACTACACAATTATGATACCAAAAGAGTTGATTTGTCCCTTTCTTCGTTTTTATTTTCCTTCAGTATTCTTCCCATTTAACAAACTGGCTCAACCACATTGGTCAACTCTGTTTAGAACTATCAGTTAGGCCACCGATCTTCTGACCGAAAATTTGTATTCCAATTTTCCTTTTTTTCTTTTTTTTATGCAGCATATTTCAGTTGAAAGCAGGGCATCACCATATTTAAGATTAAGATTATAATTCTGGGGGAAAATTCTGGTGTATACAGCACCAAGGACATAATGCACAGATGAACATACATAAATTGTCAAACAAACAAGACATTTGCTGATTCCTCCTGGATGACAGCCAAATAGAAAATAATAATAATAATTGATAGGCTCTACGCCTCGCTCTTGACTCAAAGGACACCAGACAGGTCTACAACTGTTCTGCCCTTGATATTAATTGCTGTGTTGTTGACTAGGTAACCGGTGTCTTTCAGATGGACCCCTAGAGCTACCACTGTTCCAGCTCATCCCATCCCAGAGGCAGCTGGTGTTCCCAGGCGACCGGCTGCCCTTGCAGTGCACGGCCTCCTACCTGGACTCCTCGGTGACACTGCAGTGGAGCCATAATAGGCAGGTCGTGCACACGCAAGAGGAGAATGGCATTTTCATAGAGGAGAGCATCATTCATGACTGCTGCCTGATTACCAGGTGGGAACCATACCACACATGCAATCCTTCACAAAGCACACAAAAGACATAAGCTCTTTTGTAGTCGCACACATACATGCAGAAGCACCTACATTCATACAGATTCCTCATTTATGTTAGTTTGGTCCAGAGCCACACTTTTGATTACTTGTTTTTCTCATCAAAAATGAACCCAGCAATTTGGTCTCTCATACTTCTTGAAATACTTCACACACTTCTATTGGCGGACTGCCAGAGATGCAGTGACCCATTCTGGGAATTTGATGAGTGCCTCAAAAAATGGCTGAGGCTAAGTGGTCACATGGTAGCCAGAGCAGATGCTGCCATTTAATTACAACGATAATGTGAAAAGGAGACATTCTGTTGCCACTACTCGGGCTATTCTGTATATTTTTCCTTCTTTTATTTCACTCTTCTGTACCTTCTGACTTGGCCTTGGCTTCAGGTAGAAGCAAACACTAGTAATGATGGTCTGTATGACCTTTTGCTTTGAGACCTTTGTAAATATTGTCCAACTACTAACAGAAATATGTTTCCCTAAGTCAACAGTCTTGTGGGCGTTATGGGCAATTTATATAGCATGAGGTATGTCGGTTTCATCTGTTCTTCTGCTACATAAAAGGATGTGGGCCCTTCTATGGTGCTTTATGAGTGCTTACTGTTTTTTATGATGTAGACATTGGCTATTAATGATGTTTTTATCTACTGTATTGCCGAGGTGACATCACAGTGCTTTGATGAACAATATTTACAGAATTCTGACTGTCTATAATGACATGTGATTTGTCATATGAAAATAAGCCATATTTACATATAAATACCATTTCAAAAAATGGAAAAACCAAACCATAAATATATCAGTGTCTTTGCTTGTTTCTGTGTTATTAAAATGGGTATTTTGGATGTCTTTAAAGTTGGATGTTCCAGCTCTGAAGTTTAGAAATGTTTCCTTTTACAGTTCTTTCCATCCGTTAAACCTAACTTTATATCAGACTGGGTTTAGATAGTTTACGTAGGTTAGTTGTCAAGCTGCACAATGTACAGTTCACTTGCATCACATTATGGTGCAGAATTCCTGCTAGCAGGCCAACAGCACGTCCCTGTAGAGGGAGATTTAGTACTTAGTATAATTCCAGTTTTGAGTCACGCAATTAGCACCTGCTTCCGCTACATATACTAATTATGTGTGTTCTTGCAATAAAAATCATATACGGTAATGTTTATTTTGGCAGTGTTTCCTCACCCGCAGAGGGTGGCACTGTGCTCATTTACATGGAAAACAACCTAACCTATAAATCCTTCAGCCAAGAAAAACAGTTCCTTTGTATCCAGACCAACTCTGCCTTCTACCTTTTCATATCATAAGCATAGGTGTTGAAAGAATAGCAAAGGTAAAATCTTCCTCAAGTACAGCATCCTCACCATGGATTTTAAAGTAATACCAAGAATTGGGATGTTCACTTCTTTACATGCCTGCCAACATGCAGAACATTACTTGTTATGGACCATTTGCTGTCTGCCAATTTTAGAACTAACTTTTGAAGGTCTCTCCCCTGCACGGAATTTCTGTTCTTACTGGAATGTTCTAATTTGGCGTGATTGCCTTGATGCCATTTAGTAATGTCTGCTTAAGTTCTGCACCTTTCTAAATGCAGATGAGCATCAGAAACCCTGATTGACCTGTGCTTGAGGTTATACTCTTCTGAGTAGTTTGGGTTTTGGGTTTTCAAAAACAAACAAACAAAAAAATAAATGATTCTTTTTCACAATACGAAACCTTAATAAATTAACAGTATTCAGAGGGTATAACATCATGGAATTCATCCTGTTTTTTCAAGACAACAGTTAAATTCCATTTAATGGGTACTTTTAACTGTTGTACAGTGTGTCTGATGTAGGGCAATTCAAGCTAATTTAATAAAATCTGCATACTACGTTGTATAAAATATGTGACTACCTTCCTATTATGTTTTTCAACACCGTATCTTATATGGAATTAGCCCAAAAATAATTGAAGAGAAGGACTAATTATGATATGCTTTGAGGCCTCATCCCTGCTGAGTAGAGGTGCTCAGCTAAAGACACAATAAATGATGTTAAGAGAGAGTCGGAACGTGAGTCATACACCATTAATCAAATTCTTTAATGCCTGCAGCTGTCCTCTACTTCAGGTATCTTTCTTAATCCCCTCCATTTTTAATCAACCTGATCTGTTTCAGGAAAAAAAAACAACAGAATAAATTAAAAGAGAAAAGGAAAAGTTCTCCCTTCTTTATCATGCTCTCAAACACCCTCACACACACATAGACACAGCCAGCTGATTGGCTTTACCGCTTTTCTTCTTACGCCGCTCTTGGCAGACTTCAGTCACCATGGAAACGGATTTAATTGGCCTATTACTTTCTTCATCTGATCACAGTCACATGACATGGGGATGGGTTTGGAGAAGACGGGAAGAGAAATTGTGAGCTATTCCATGAACCTCACACAAAGCGTGCATCCTAATGCTCCCTCCTTGTGATAGAGCCAGCCCTAATCAATAGCCCCGTCACAGAGAAGACTGTACATAGCTTCAGACAATCCCAGAAGGTTGTCATCTGTGAAGCAGCGTGGCAACTGTGAAAGAGACATTTGGTGGTAAACAGTGGATTAAAGGAAAATGGTCACGGCTAATTGGAAAAGAGTCAACTACATCACCTGAGATACTGTCCCTAATGAAATGGCAGGCGGATTCTGGAGAGCAAAGGTTTCAGCATGAACCTAAATATGTGAGAGAATAATAGGGGTGTAGTGAGAGGAAGATATTTATACCAAATTCACTCTACAAAGCTTTCAACCTAAGGTAGTTCAAGTCCTTTTATGCAATTCTTATTATTGCTTACCATTATCTAACAGCCACAAAGTTCTGCCACCAACTGCCTGTTACCCTCTAAAGAAAGGGGCAGGTATGTACATGCATCTGTAGTTTTTATCATTCACACCCACACTCATATACACAGACATAAGGATCCTTCCATATGTGTGGGAAAACCAAATAATTGGGGAAGGGCTGGTACCATGGTTTATGTCTGGAATGTGATCTGGAAGTGCCGGGTTCTGAAGTTTACAGCCTCATAAGCAGCATTACACAAACAAATCATTAAATATCATCAGAGGACTATAAACGCCCCTAATGAGTCCATTGGGAAGAATTCCGGGCAGACGGCTTTACAATAGTTGAGTGTTTATATGAATTTAGGTCAACACTTTGTGCTTGCCTCTCTGTATTTGTCCCCCAGTGGCCTCTCACTGTTACAATGGCACTTTAACGGATGTCTTGTGCTGAGCGATAAAGTTTGTGGGATGAGGTGGGGGTATTGCTGTCCAATAAACTCCTGTTTTCTTGACATCTTGACAGCTTGTTTAATCCTATCTTGTTTGATGATTTTCTTTGGGTTGAGGGCTTACAGAGATGTCCATCTGATCCGCTGTTACTGTATGCCCAGTGCATCTTAGAATTCCTTCAAACATAGAACGTTATGAAAGCCTTTAGCTGGTCAAGGGCACATATCAGGCAGCAGAAGAGACGTTTTTCAGAGTAAAGAGATGTAGCTTTTCAACTGTTTAGTTGTCTTTCATTTGTCCGTTAGCTGTTTAGTGCATGGAGTAAAGACCAAGGAAATGTTTGATAGCAGATATCTTGATGATCACAATACTAGTGATGTGAAAGCAGAGGCTCTGCTATTATTTCACGTATACGTATATCACGTATTTCAGTGTATGAACATCACAAAGCTTGATGCCGGTTTATGCTCAAAATGTTGCTATTTCGGGCTTGTTGGAGAGTTGATATGGCATTTTGTGGTTTCATTTATTTGAGGGAAGGCCTTGAGCAGAAGCGGCTGTGTTATTTCTGGACTGTGGCTTTGTGGGAGAACTGGGAGTAGTGTGTCTGCTGAGCTCTGAACCCTGGCAAGAGATATCAGAGGATTTACCCTAAACTTAAAATGTCATAAGTGGGTCCACAACTAATTAGGAACCACTGAAATTATGAGTGTGATACAACAGAAGATGACTGATTTAAGGGTAAGTGGATTCTCGTAACTGAAAGGTTAACTGAATGTTTCAGTGTAATTAGCAACGGGACAAGTACGGCTTGTGCAGCTGTTGTTCACATTTTTTTTTTTTATTCCCCTTTTGAAATCCTGCCTGCATGTAAATGTTTTAGGCTGTAGTATATGAGAATATGATCTGCAACATATTTCCTTCCTTTCCGTCATCTCTCATTAGACGCTGCATTCTATCCCAAAGCCATTCACCTGAGTTTGTGTTGGAAAATCTCAGGGCAAAATGTCATTTAAATCAGTCGCTCACATTTCCTGTTTTCAAGCACATCCTGTGCTTTAGAAAGTGCAGGAATTTGGGAATATTTTAATAAACATTGTTGTGGTGAATACCTCAAATGCATTACTTCCTGAAAGTTAAAAGGAAATGTTAGTGTGAGGTTCTGAGCACAAGGCAGGTATGTAAATTAATGCTTTATTATTTATGAGAAATCACAAAATGTTCATATCGAGAAGAAATGGCTCAGGCACTGCGTGTTGGGAGATCTCCAAAATGTTAAAAAGTTGAAAAGGGAGTGCTTTTCATTTCTCCAAATAATGGGGGAAAGAGACGTCCTTACCATTCCTCGTTATCTGAAGTGGCAGAGCACAGAGCAATACTTTAGACATTGAAAGCCATCGTTTTGCTGGGAGAGATTTGAGTGCTATCAATTCAGTGTCACTTGTAATTTAAATGTCAAGTAAAGCTATGCAAACATGAACATTCAGGATTTGAGGAATCAAATGCGTTTGAAGCAAGCCACTGCTGCTAGCTGAAATGGGAATCTACTGAATACTCTTACAAATTATGTTTCTGTAACATCTTTATCCAGAAAAATATTACCATTGAAATTGCATAAGTGTATGTGTGTTGCTTTGCATCTTATTTGAAGTTTCTTTATTATTTCTTTAAATTAAAGGTCATTGTCGAATTCTCTCTTTGTTCTACATTCTACTCCCTAAATTATACTTTTTTTCTGCTTTAATTAGTGAGCTCATCCTTAGCAACATTGATATGGGTGCGTCGGGTGACTGGGCATGCCTGGTGACCAGTATCCGGGGAAACAGCTCTAGAAGTATGGAGATAGTGGTGCTGGAGACGTCCACGCTCTACTGCCCTGCAGAGAGGGTCACCAACAACAAGGGTCAATTCAGGTGGGAACTTGATGGAAACTGCGTCTGATTGACTCTTGGGGTTATTAGTGATGCATGTGGCAATAATTTTCATCGCCCTGGTGTGTGAGGATGCATGAGCTCATATGCTTTTCACCCAGGGTGTTTTTTTATAATGCATTGCAGAACTACTTTGTTTTCGCAGAGCAGTAATGGTGTGGAAAATGAGACCTTTTTGTTCAACAGAATTAGTGCCATTTATTACTAAGTAGCCAGTGCTGAAGCTGACAGTGGAGAATGCTGCCTAGATAGAAATGGAAGGTAGTGAAGTAGAGCAGACAGGCCTTAACGACTTCCCTCCTCGTCAGGTGCACTGCCTTCATTTCCTTTTTGAAACACTCATTCCTTCTTCCTTCTGTTTTGAAGGAACTATTTTGAACTGAGCTACGGCACTAGGTTGTGTTAATAGAAATGTTACTTATAAACATGAACAGAAAGATGAGATTAAGATATTCAAGCAGAGGAGTGTGCTGGTTTGGTCAATCAAAACATGATAACCGCTGTGTCATAGCAGGTGGCTAAAGACTTTGGCTGGAGTGTTGGCCTTTCAACCCTGCAAATCTTACAAACAAAACCCCACTTCTCGGGGGAAAAAGGCTTGGAGAAGGTGTGACCGGGCGGGCAACTGGGCAGAAGAGGACTACAGCCAGTGCCCATACACCAGTGAAGTGACTCGTGTTCTGCATGAGCTCAGCCAGGTATTCTAACCTCCTCACATCATTCCTCCCCATTGACAGGTATAGTGCTTGTTCTGCAGGGAGGATCTACATCTATAAAAATTTCCATGAAAGCTGTGGTAGAACAGAAGATTTAGCCATGAAGTTTAGAGCTTCTCAGAAACTATGTTGTTATGTTACTTTTTATTTTGCTTGCAAACTTTAAATAAGATTGCTCTGTTCCATTCTAGATGGCTGTCAACGTCACCAATGCACAGACCCTGGCTCAGCAGCTCTCAGCCTTCACCAGCAGAGCAGCGCACTTCAACGATATGATGGATGTCATCTATGTGACTCACATCCTGGAGAGACTCATACGCTACATGGATCAAATTCAAGATGTACAGCATTTTATTTTGTGTTGTAAGGTCATTGCTGCTGGCTGCACTAATGCCTGGTCTTCCTTCTTTAGTGTTGTACTACATTTGATACAGATGTGTGAAACAGGTAATGGTAACTCTTTCCCTTGGCGTCCCCTGTCTAAGTCCCCGGACGGGCGAAGGGAACCACATGGATAATGTTGTCTCCTGATTCCTCTGGTGCCCCCTAGTGAGGCCCCAGAGAAAAGCCTCCATGGGCAGCAGCTGCGATCTCGGCACTGGTGGATAGTGGACTAACTGCTTTAATTGCCAGGCTTTTGGGGCTGAGTTTTAGACCTGGCATCAGTGCAGTAACGTGGTAACATGCAATTTAAGGAGACTGTACATATTGTTAGGTGGCGTTTTTTGGTCTGGCCTCGTTTGTTCCTGAATTCATTAGACATTTTTAGACTGGAAATGCTATATTGGCAGAATGGAGGCAGAAAATGTCAAAAAATAATTTAGCCACTAGAGATATTCCTGCTTCCTGTAGGATTTTTTTTAAAAAGTCAACATATTTAAAAAGGAAAAAATAAAACAAGTTCTTATACATAATACGGCAAATCTCATTGTCCTAATAAAGAAACGCAGTACTTTTCAGTGAGATCATAAATTCTAGTTTTGCTCTTTTATGCTCAAAACTGAGTGTCATTGTCTTCTGTCCTTGTTAGTGTCATAACTGCATGAACTAAATGATGAATATCACTTTGCAAGGCACACCGCATAAAACAGGAAAAAGGGAGGTGATCTTCATAACATATGATTCATTTTGTATAAGACAGGACAAAAGAGAAGAACAGATCACACTCTTCTTTCTGTTCATTTGGTGTCTTTAGCAAACGTCTTATGCAAATTATGGTGCTCTGCTGTAGAGTTAAATAAGAAGTTTGGATCAGTGCTCGGGCTGTTATTACTGGCTATCTCATTCACATTCCTCAGAAAGAGAGCATTTTTACAGTGACATTTATGTAAATATTTTAATAATCTCCTTCAGAAAATAATTGTCTGGTCTAAAGAGCATGCCTAAATTTTGCATTTAAAAAATGATTGTCTGCTGCATTGTTTTTTTAATACGGCAGAAAAGATTCCTGACATTCCAGTCACAGACATCTTTCTTCCCTCAGCTTGCCGACTACATCGCAGACGTAGCCAGCAACATGATGCAGATTGAGGAGCATGTGCTGTGGATGGCGCAGAATGAAGCTCGGGCCTGCACCCGCATCGTGCAGTGCGTGGAGCGCATCGCTGACGTGCTCCTTTCCAGCCACACTCAGGCCGTATCAAAGGTACCGTTTCCATTTCTCTGCCTTCTCCTTCTTCATTGCTCTTTTAATCCATGCCTCATCTTCCTTGGTCCTTCTGTCGGTCGATCCCCATACATCACACTGTACTGAAAAGATAAGTAACGATTTAATTGGTAGCAGAATTAGCAGACTGTTTGTCCGTCTGCCTGTTTTGGTGGAGGTGGGGGGGTGGGGGGTGGGGGGTCTAGGCACCTGAGTGAGCCACTGGGTATGTTGTTCACCTGTTATTAGGATTTCACATTTTCACTTTTGGCGATACAACTGTGCACATTCTTGGACAAAAACATGCATTTGCTGAAATAATGGGCACCTGGAATTTTCATAGGCAGTTACATGGAAAAAATAAAAAAGAAAGTCATTACTGTAAGTATGAATCAGGGAAGATAAGGTTTAATCATCTGCCACCATCATCAGTTTAAGACAGTCATGCATTCGATAATACACTAAATCATACAGGAAAACTTGTAACTCCTTGTAATAAGATTTTGTTATTTACTGTTCAAAATGCAATATTTGTATATATGAATATTTATAAAAAGGTACACAGGTGAAAGACAAATCTGTGTTCACAGGTAACTGACTAAATACATACTTGTCTTATTTCAGTGGCATTTGTATAACTTTAATTCAAAATAAATTACTTATGCTGTTTGTTTTTATTATTACTGCATCAATACTTCATTAAAAAATCTATATGGTTATAATAACGTTATAACAAATTGGTGCACTTTTGGTTTGCTGTTTTTCTCATTTTATTAGACAATCACAATGAGGAATGTTTGCACACAGTAATTACTAACAAAACAAACTGGGTCATTTCACTTAGGGAATTTTACAAAGTCCTGACACAGTGGTTCATTGGTGGGTCAGCTATCTTATTGGATCGAAAAACAAAGCTCTACGTTTTGTTTTTTTTTTCTCTCAGTGGGTCAAGTGTTTCCTGGTGCTGTTTTCTGTCAGGCTTCTCCCAATATCGCCCTGAAGGCCTTCATGATTAAGCCATCAGACTTCGTGGGATTGTCCTGTGCAGCACTCCAGCAAGCTCCGCTGGCCCCTGACTGGGGGGGGCTGAGCCACGGAGGAGGTGACAGGCCCCCTGGAACCCCTGGGGAGTCACTGCTCAATTTCACGTGCAACAGCGTCAACCTCAGTAGCCCCCTGGACGGACTTCTCGGCAAGGTAAGGGTTAACTGGCACCAGCAACCAGAAATGCGACTACAGAAAAGAAATTGCTTCCGAACGGGCAGAAGGGCAACTGCAGTTAGCCCATGAAGGCTTCTGTTCCTTGCCTTCTCTGATTATAAACCGCTGACATAATAATAAAAAAACTCCGATGCCTATAATTTGTCATTTATGACAGGGAGACATTTTATTAACATTTTTCTCCCCCCAAAAACATTCTACTGTTCTTTATTTCCATAGACTCAGATTACAAAAAAATGTACCCCATTTATAAAGCATTCTTTGCTATCATAGATTCATGTTTTACATTTTACCCTTAAAAGTTTTCAAAGTCAATTTAAATGCAAAGCAGCTGCTGATGTAACACTGCTCCTGAAATGTGCAGTTTACTTTATGACATTGAATGATTACTAATAAGTAACACAAGAAAACCCTTATTTGTATCTCTGCTCGTTGTAGGTATGAACTGTAACCCTAGAAGTCATTTCTCTCATTTTCCCTTTCTTTTTTTCTGTAAAGCATTCCGAGGGATTTTCCAAGTAAGAAATGCCTATTTAATTATCATCATAGACTATTTTTAACAGAAAGTGGGTACTTTCCATATTATTCACTATTGTATGTCTTAATGATGTCACAGTGGTGAAAAAGCTGTGTGGGTGGTAGTGGGGGGGAGGGGGTGGGGGAATGGGGCGGGGATTGAAATAAATAACTATTTATAAGGATCTGATTGGTGCAATGACCTTGCATCCCTTCCACAATAAATCCTAAGTCCTCATGCTGCTCCTTTAGATTCCCTGAACTGAATGACAAACGAAAAGCACATTGTAATTGCATAATGAGAAAAAGTGTCCAGGTCCTCATCCCTCTGGCAGTATTGTAGCATGCTGTAACATTTACTGCCCTTACATCCCTCTGTGGACAATGTGCTGATCCTCTGCTCGGGCCGGCCAGCTGAAAGTGCTGCCGTTCGCTCTTCTGTGCTCTACTGACCCGGCTGGAGAACACAGAGGCATTAATGTGCCTGCATGCGATGACTGAAATTTGCCAGTGCACAGGACAAGCTGCAGTCCACCACTTTCTACAGCAGCGGGAGCTGTAGATCAAACAGCCAGTGCTCGTTTTACTGCACTCTAACTAGTCCTCTGTCAATGTATTCTTATTTTGGGAGTGGTGAAAATAAAACGTTATGGGTAAACATTTTGAACAGGCATTGCAATTACTGTTTATGTAGTATATATTTCCTTGTTCAAACACTTTCTGCTCCACTAATCAACTTAAATTGCCGTTCTCTTTTTTACGCCTCTGGGTTTTTGTTTTGTATATCACTATGTTAATGTATTTTTTTCTACTTTTGCTTTAGTATACAAGTGCATAATAAGAACCCCCATGTTGTTCTTGGTTTTTAGATGAAAATTTTCTGGTTGTATAAAAAGATTTTGGTTTTAGTCAGGTGGGCAATCTTGTCTAGAAAGGGTCGTTTTGTATGTAGGTTTTCGCTGCAACTCCCTAATTAGGTCACTAATTAGAGGACTGATTGGCTGAAGAGTCATCACACCTGGGTTTGAACAGCTGACCTAAAGGTTATCTGAAGACCTGCATACACACCGGCCCTTTGCAGATAAGATTGCCCACCCCTGCTATAAGAAGCGCATACTACAGGTCCTGTGATGGGCTTTTGTTGTTCTGTGAGGTATCATGTTTTACCGAATGGCTCCCAGCTTATGCATAAGTCCCCCATTTAAATATATTCTATGGTCTGTCATGCTGGCAGTACTTTTGCTGCCACATCACTACAGTTTAGAATGGACACTGTGCATTAGCCGTGAGACACAATCCGACCCTTGGGTCTGTAACAGAGGAAGTGCATTTGTGACCCAGGCGTGGTACTGTAACTGTCTTGAGTCCGAAGGAATAAAACAATTAAATATGCAAATGTTCCTCCTCACAACACTGATAATTCGTGTAGCAGACTGACCCATTTTCAAAACACTCTCTCTGATGCCTTTGTTGGTTCCTCCGCCAGACTGGGAGCTAACAGCTTCAGAAAAGCAGAGAGGCTTTCAGCCACATTTTCTTGCAAATGTTTTGCAAAAGTGGGGATGGGTGAGCAGAATGTATTTTCCCTCTAGGTAGTGGAGAAAATCAAGATGTACCGCATACGACTTTCACTTTGTAGTTTTAGCAAATGCACTCTGCTTACATCTCAAACATAAAATTACGCTTTATTATCCCTCTGCCTACTCAGTGTTACAGGTCCTGCCATCTATTCCTCCCCCCTCCATCTCTTTGGCTCTCGCTGACGCGTGCAGCCAGCCCTGCCAGGTGAAACTTAAATGGGTATATAACAGCCTGCTCAGCAGTAAGAGTCTGGCTTCAGCTGAGGATGCAGTTAAAACAACAACAAACCACCACAGACTGGAGAACGTGAGGTTATAGCCATCTGCACGCTTACAAGGAGCAGATTTAATGCTCTAAAACAGTGAGACTGAGACCATCAAGCAGATAAACTCACTTAATGTGTTTTACCCCAAGACAGTAAAAAGGTCAAACTGTTATGGTCTCCCTCTAAGTTTAAATTTAATAGGAATCCGCTGCTTCTGCTTTGTCTTACTGAGTGAATCAACCGAGGTTCACAAGCTAGGCCGTTTCATTTTCTGTACACATTGTCATTGGCGTTTTTTGCTCCTAAAATCCATGTCATCCATAACTTACCTTAATGGTACATAGTATCTGATAGGGAAAATGAATGTATTTCCCTTTGATTCATAGCCTTGCAGCATGCCGCTCTCTTTACACTCCGCAAATTAAATGGCATTAATGCTGCAGACCTCTGGTGCAGCAAAGCATTGTGGTCTTCCCACTCGCGACCTCCAGCTCAGAGTCGGCTAACAAGCTGGATGGGCGGCTCGGTTTTACACAGCCAAGAAACCCAGCTGATCTTACAGTTACATTGTCCGCAACAAAATAATGTATTTTTTACATTATTATGGAAATAACTGTGCCTATACTTAATCTCTTCTGCTGGACACACACAAGGAGAATGCAAAAGTATTGAAGCACCTCAAAATGATCAGATTTGCCTGAATTATAAATGATAAATACATATATTCTTCCTGACGGTATTTGCCAACTCATAGTCTCTCACAGTAAAGTCAAAATTGTCTGCAAATAATTCAAAAATAATCAAAAAACGAAATATGCTGCCCGCATAAATATTTGCCTCCTACACATTGGTATTTGGTAGAGATACCCATTATTGCAATAACAGCTCTATGTATTTTGGGGTAAGTAGCTACCAGCTTTCTTCCAGTGCTCAGGGGTGATTTTTGCCCATTCGTCATGGTGGACTTGCTCCTGGTCTTTCATGTTGATTGGATGTTGCTTGTTGACTGCAATTTTCAAAGAAAGCCGCAGATTCCCTATGGGGTTCAAATCTGCACTTTGACTTGGCCACTGTAAAACATGCTTTAATCGCTCCTGGGTTGCATTGACCTTGTGCTTGGGATCATTGTCATGCTGAACAGAATTTTGCTCCATCCATTCTCCTTTCAGTTTTGACAAGATGCCCAGTTCCTGAAGATGAAAAGTGCAGGATCTGGTTATGTGTCCCATTAATATATTAAACTTTTTCACTTGGTACTTCACATAGGATTTTAGCACTTTCCAACCTACCACTAGTGCCCAGTAAGCTAAACGTCTTGCACAATAGCTTTAACAAAGGCAAAGTTACTGTAGGTTGACATTATTTACAGAGGAAGCAAAGGTTTACCGCATTACTGTTGCTTCAAGGTCACACTGTCACTTGATAATTTTGCATAGTGTTAACACTGACTTTCAAATCACCAGCTTCCAAACATGTGAGATAGCATCTGAGATATGCATGTGTGACAGCTTTAACAATGTAAGGCAAACGAGAAGTGCCCTTTTGTCGTTGTGCTGCAGAGAACTGGAGAGTGTGCGTGTCTGCACATCAAGGTACCGAGAAGCTCATTTGGAAAGGCAAGTAAATCTGATATAATTCCCAGAGACCTCACTGCAGATCTCAGGACGTGTTGGAGTATCTGCTTATGCCGTGGCTCAAAGTGACAGTCTTGCGAATTGTTTTCATTTGTCCTTCCGACACAGTACTACTCTTGAGGGACACGTGTGTGTGTGTGTGTTTTTTTTAATGGGACAGGTCACGTACTGGGTTGTAGGCAGGGGAAGCTATTGTGTCCATGTTGTATCCACTCGAAGGAAGGGGCTTTATACTGTAGCCATTGAATACTCTGCTGTAGTCGAGGGAAAAGCTTGTTTCTGTCATGTTGCCAGTAGTAGGGGCGGTATCTTGTGTTATAGCAAGTATATAAGATTTCCCATGTGTTAGCCAGCAGTAGGAGCAAAGTCCTTGAGCTATATGGTGTTCTCAGCTTAGTAATGCCTTAACAGCAGGGTTAGTCTTTGGGGACTTATAGTAGGGTGTGTTTTCGTTACTCAAGGGGATTAAAGAAACCTAAGTGCAAGCTGATGTAATGTAGCCCAACACGTAGCATCATTCTAAATTATGACAGCTATAAGAAATGGGACATAACTGTCTCCCTTCAGGCTATTGCCAGAGCTGGAAGCCGTTGCTTCTGTTGCTTCTGACTGCAAAGTAAGAAAAAAGTAGTGAACACCTGAAGCCCAAAACAATTACAGTCAAACTGCTCCAGAGTGAGTCACTGACACCTTAATCCAATATTGCATGTAAGCTTTGAGCTAGAAAGGAGTATCCTGGGTATACCGAAAATCACTTCCCCAAGTTGACTTAAAATTTTAAGGGAACTTTCATGGTATTTATGGAAACTTTACTGTTGAAAAGGAATTTTAACATTCATTTGTGGGTTGTGATTCTGTTTTACATCCATTATTTACATGGAGTTCTCGCAAAGTGGATGAATGTATTTAAGATAATACAAAGAGAGTCGTTTTTAAAAATAATTTCTTTACAAGTCAGTTACCTCAAGTAGCTGTCTTTG